CGTTTCAGTGGAATACACATAACCGAAATTTAAAAACCCAAACCCATGTCTTTTGAAAGATGAGTCCAAACATCTGATGATTGAGTTACTGTTTTTGTGTTTCTCTTCCATTCATTCATTCTTCCTCTCTTCATGCTATTCCTCCCCCTTTCTTATTAGCATACTTATAAACAGCTTTTCCCTTTCCTCCTGACGTATCTTCTACATAGATCCTGTGGAAAAGGTTTGAGTGAGTTGTCAACTTGAATGTCTGCATTTTCTCTCAGTGACAGATTCAACATGGCCTAGACTAGGGGCAGGTGACGGACAGCACAGAGGTCCTCTGCCTCTTTCTGGGAATACACTTGTACTGGGGACACCTGAGTCTACTTTGGCACTTCCATGACAGTGTCACATGGTTGTGACCAAGGTCACCTGGCTCCCAAGTCATCTGGGACCATAAGAGAAAGCCGGCCATCTTCCGCCCTAGAACGGCAGTCACTTTCCTGTGGCACTCTGGAGACAGCAGTCCCTGGTCTCTTGCTAGAGCTAAGTCTGGGGTCTACTTATTATTTCTGTGCAGAGAATCCGTCTCCCTCTGCAGTTTCTCCTGGTTGATGGGCTCCAAAGGTGAGCACATCTACATGACGGTTTGACAGTGTTCAGGGTGTGCCATTTCAGTGTTTTTCCATTTCTGAAAAGTTCTCATCCAATTCTTTTTGCTATTACTGCTGCATTTCTTGATTTCTCCTTTGGTGATTCCTACTAGAAAATATGAAATTTTTCATTCTGCCTTTTAATTTATCATTCATAGTTCCATCATCTCCATTACGCCACATGCCGAGTGATTCCCTCAGATTCAATCATCCACTTCATTAAATCTACTTTCAGTTGCATCTCATCAGTTAACTATTCTAAGTTTTCATTTTAATGTCTATACTTTTCATTTTAAACTGTTCTATTTGGATTGTCTTTTAAATCTGTTCTCTTGAAAAGCTATCCTATTTTATTGTAATAATTTCCATCCCTTATTAAATACTAAAAAGCCTTCTCATTTTTGTAGCTTTATATAGTTTTTTAAAAAATAAACTTTGCTTTAGATTGGTTTTAGTTATATAGAAAAGCTCAAAGTTAATATAAACTGTTTCTATAGGTCTTGGGCCTAGTTCTCTTTTTTAAAAAGAAATATTTATTTTACTGGTGGTTCCCCATTGTTAACCTCTTACATACAGTGATATGTTTATTCCAATCGAGAAACTTATACAGGCACATTACTGTACTTCACAGTGAATTCAGATTTCACCAGTTTTCCCCTAACATCCTTTTCTGTGCCCGGATCCCATCTAGGACAGCCCCTTGCATTTAGTGTCCTAAGCCTCCTCTGCACTGTCACTTTCTCAGACTCTGAAGAGTTTTGAGGCGGCGGCGGGTCAGGTATTTTGTTCCTCCACTTGGGTGTGTCTGATGTTTCTCTCATACAGTTTGATTATATATTCGGTTTTCTGGATGCCATCTTTCCTCAGTGGTAGTCTGTTGCCTATGATTTGTCCCGTTTCATCTTTATTTTTGTGTGATCTTATCTTTACTTGGGAATTGCTCTCTTTACCCCCAGGTGTCTGGTGAGCTTGGAGGGTCCCTTGGAAGAGGCTTTAGGTTTGTTCTTACAAAACCCTGAAGATTGTTTAATTATCCTAGACCCAGTTTTTATGTTGAATCCTGGGTTTGTGTTCTCGGGGACAAGATCAGGTATATGAATTTGTACCCTGTCTGATGCAGTCACGGGTCTGATGCAGTCACACGTGATCTACTGTATCTGGTACCCTGTCTCTCCATCCAAGATCCTGGAGAGGCCGAGTTCCACGTGCACGTTCCTGGCCAATGGGTGCAGCTCAGTTGACAGACAGTGCCTGCGAGCCATGGTCTCTGTGCCAGGATGCTTCCGTGCCCTGACCTCCACGGGCAAGGCTGGCCTCCATCCACCCGGACCCAAGGGGAGCACTCTGCCTTCGGTTCCTCCCTTTATGGCCGGCAGGTGGCATTTCTTTCTCCTTCTTGGTCCAGGGTATGCAGGAGCCAGGTTTGCTCCTCGGTTTACTTGTAAAGGGACATCAATGTCAGTTGAATTCACCACATTACTAGAAGTACTAGGGACAAATTTTAAGCTTCTTAGCAGAGCTATGGCCTCCAAATCATGTTTTCTGTAGTGACTGAGCACAACGCGGGGCACGCGGCAGCACTCACTCAACAGTAAATGAGGAAATGAACGAGTGGGGACCAAGAGGCCAAGCACCTGCAGCCTTAGGGAGACCTTCAACAAAGCCCCGACTGGGTCCTGGAGACTGGGAGCAGACAGCAAGCGGGGGCAGCGTCCTTCTACCAGTGCCCCAAGTCCTGGCAGCCCTGCCTCGTGCTGCCCTGCTCCCCCGGTCGATCATGACTCCTTGCTGGCTCCCCTAATGGAGCTGTCCGTGACTTTGATCACCTGACAGTGTGACTACTTTCCCCTACTCCAGGAGGAGTCAACCGAGAACCTAGGAGGGACTTGAAACCACGCATGCAGCCAAAGTTCATGGTGGAGCTGCAGATGGTGTTCTAGGGCAAGACGCTGCCTCCACTTGGGGATACCACCGGGGCCCTCCGCAGCTCTGCAGGGCTCGCCTCTCCGGACCCCACACATGGTCACTGGCTGTAAAGCCCCAGTGTAATGGGAAACCAGGGAGCCGCATCGCTCAGGCTCTCAGTAGGAACAGGCAGAGCATGGGCCCCACCACCTTCTGGGCTGGGCACCCGGGCCTATGGGGCCGAAGGGCCTCCATCCAGCCCACAATCCTTCCAGGGCCTCTCCTCTTAGCTGCCCAAGCAGGAAGTTCTCCCTAGCTGCTGCCCTCCGTCCCTCACCTCCCACGGAGCCAGTGTTAGCATGAGCTGAAGGCTAACAGGAGTGCTAACAAGCCTTGCCTGGGGACTGCCCTGCCTGTCACCCACGAGTAAGGTCACGGACGTTCAGAAGGGAAGGCACCAAGTCCACACTACAGGTGGGGTCCTAAGGGGGGGGGTGGCTGAAGGAGCAGGGTCTGCGAGGGAGAGGCTCTTCCCCTTCCCTGTCTGCAGCCTTCACTGCAGGGAGCCTCTCCCCACTCTGGAGGGTACAGTGACAGCACTGGCAGAAGGGCTCCAGCAGGCCTGTCCCCCCGGCTGTCATGCGGGTGGATGGGGGCTTCTTGGGCCTGATGCTCCTGAGCGGAGGGTCTTTGTGGCTGGAAACGTCCAGGCCTGCTGCCCCGGCCCCAGCCCAGGTGGAGGACGGGCTGGGGCTTACGTAACTCCCAGAGTGTGTCTGGGGGGAGGGAGGAAGTGGGACGGAAGTGTTTTCGCTCCAGTTCCTTCAGAAATACTCATCAGGATTAGCAGAAAGTGCAGGTGACAGACAGAGGGATATTGGAGTTGACGTCGAGATGTCATGGGGGACATGGTGCCACCAGAAAGAGCCTGGCCTGTGAGTGCAATGCCCGAGGCACGGCTGTCACTTGCGGGCACAGGCCTTGTGTGGCGTGTGCGGTTTCCTGTGCTCGGGGAGGACCTGGCCTTTGAGAGCTTATAAGGTCAGCCCCTGGGGGCTCCTCACCCGCTGCCCGACTCCGAAACTTGTCCTGGTCTAATGAAGTCGAGATCAAAAGGCTGTGCCACAGGCCAAGCGCCCCGTGCCCCCTCCCGAGCCCCGAGCTTGCAGAGCAGTCCGCGGGTGCTCTGAGTCATAATTAGCCTTGTTTTCGGTGACATTTCTAACGTTCTAAAGGCCCTTCCCTCCCCACCCACCACCTCGTTTGATTTGGATAATCGGCATCGTTCAGGATGAAGCAGATCGGGAGTGAGGAGCGGCCGCCCCAGGGAGGAGGGAGACCAGGCCCCCCTGGACCAGGGACACGGAGTCGCTCCTTGGGGTGGGGGCACAATGTTGGGGGCTGTGCCAGTCTGAAGGCGTGGACGGAGCCTCTGAGGTGAATGACGTTATTCAGCGACAGTCAGTTCCCAGGTCTGTCGAACGTGCACGTACACCTGAAGCTCACCTGTCACTGTGCCCAGAGTTCACCCGACCGACCCCACTCATTGTCCCCACTCATCGTGACCGTCTCTTCGTGCCCTGAGGGCCACGGAACCTGCAGCTCCTTGGTGGAGCTCCCCTGCCTGGTGTCTGAGGGACCCCTGTGGTCCCACGGCTGTGACCTTGTGAAGTCCCTGCTTAATTCAGGGGGGGAGGAAAAGCGGTTACAGGGCTGGCGGCTGGCTATGGAGGTGGGAAAACGAGACGTGACAGGAGCTTTGGCTCAGTCATCGGGGTGCACGGTGGTGACAGGGAACCCTGGAGGGGGAGGTGCCACCCAGCAGTAGACGGAGACGGTCAACCAGCCATGGAAATGCTCGGTGTGGGGACCGGGCAGCACCCTGGGGAGGGAGCGGACCCACAGGAGTAAGGAGAGGAGTCTCCGCGGGAGGTGGACGTGGGTGTCACCAGCAAACAGAAAACTAGGCCCAGGAACGCGAAGGCCGTCCAGGGAGCGCAGGAAACCAAGAGGAAGGAGGCCCAGAGACAGATCCCGGTCCCGGCATGTGAGAGGGGTCAGAGGGCGAGGCACAGCTGCGCACCTTCCTGAGGCAGGTCTAAGGGGGCCGGGGAGAGCTCAGTGAGGAGGGAGGAAGGGAGGGCTCAGGAAACGGGGCCACTGTGACCATCGACCGCTGTCCCTGCCACCCCGGGTCTCAGCACGTGCAACATGTCTACAGAACCGCCTGCAGCCAGAACCGCTTTCTAGCTGCAAAACGTCACCCACTAGAGAGCCAGGGGCACAGACCTGCTTCTCTGAGGACCTCTGACAGGTGGGACCTCGGCCGGCCTGTCCCAGCCCCACGTGCTGGGGGGCAGGGGCGCATCTCCATCGCGGCCAGGCAGCTCACCTGGGTGACACGCACCTCCTTAGCACCTCGTGTGCAGGACCTGCCCTGGGCTCCTGGCGCTGACTTACCTGGCGCTCTCAAAGGTGGCAGATGCCGTCTTTTCTACAGCCCCAAATCCAACTCCAACAGCAAGGCCCTCTGAAAGGAACACACAGAAGAAGACACGGCCGGTTAAGAATGATTTTCTGATCAGGAACGTCGCCATCACCACTGCCGGGTCAGACTGGGGCATAAACCAAGGTCTCACCAACAGTGTGGGTGGAGGTGGGGGCAAACCGGCCTGGTTTTGCATGGCCTGCCAACTAAAGATGATTTAACATTTTTAAAATTGTTTTAAAAAAATCAAATAGTATTTCATGACATGTGATGATTCCATGCCATGATGATTTTAGTATCTATAAATTAAGTTTTAATATCTCACAGCCAGGCTCATTAGTTGATGAATTAACTTCAGAATTCATACTACTAAGCAGAGCTGAGTAGCTGTGACAGACACCAAATGTCCTGAAAACCTAAACAGTTTATGATCTGGCCCTTCAACAGAGTGTGATGACAACCTGAACATGTGGGGCTTCTGCTTATGAGCTCATGTGACAAAAAGTCTAAGAGTCTCATGAGAGCCCAAGGACATCATTGGAGACAAATTAGGTCCTCATAGTTGCAAAATGACTGCGCCCCTCCAGGCACTTCACCTAAATCCCAGGCAGGAAGAAAGTCAAAAAGGCCAAAGATTTTCCTTATTGAGGCTTTGTCGCCTGACTGGGGAAGGAAAGCCTTTTCTGGCAGGCCTCCACTTAAGCCTCCTGGGGCAGAACAGAGACGCGTGCCCACTGTGAATGAGACTGGCCCCAGGCCCAGACACTCAGCCTCCGTGACAGGTTCATGGGGGTCCTGATCTCTGCTTGGGCTGGGACCACCCTTCCTCTCCGTGCGCCACTGGAATGAGCTGGGGCCTCGTCAGGAGGGGTGGGAGGTGGCAGAAACACCGTCACCGGAATGTGCTTTGGGATGACTGTCTTCAAAGAGCATCCGGGCTCTCGAAGGCACCACCTTGTCTGGAGACAGCTGGGGTCAACTCCAGGCCCGTGGGCTCGTCCAGCCGGAAGCTGGAAGGCGGAGGCGGCGGTTCTCGAGCCGTGTCCAGTGGGGCTCATGGACTGGCCGAGCTCGCCCACCTGCCTCTGGCCCCGGGGAGGGACGTGGGGTGGAGAAGGGCCCCAGCCCAGCTGGGACCGTGGGAGGAGCAGTGCAGCCTGAGGCACCCACTCTGACACCCCTGGGGCAGTGCGTGGCTGCCCTCCACCCCCAGGGCCTGCCAGGCCCAGGCCCAGGCCTTCTCTTAAGGACCAGAGTCCTGGAGATTGAGCCCAGGGGTCTTAACCCCAAGCCACACCCCCAGCCCTATTTATTCTGAGACAGGGTCTGGCTAAGTTTCTCAGGGCCTTGCTAAGTTGCTGAGGCTGGCCTTGAACTTGTGATCCTCCTGCCTCAGCCTCCTGAGCCACTGGGACTTCAGGTGTATGGCACCACTGTACCCAGAAGAGGGGACTTTCTGATGAGGAGGGAGGAGGGCAAAGCCTCCCGAGTGAGAGGGGCTTTTGGAGATTCAGTGTCTCCTTGACCGTTTCTGTCCTTGTGTCCTCTTCAGCTGGAGTGGCCTAGGACACCTGGAGGCGCAGGGGACAGGAAGGCTGCTTCCGACTGTTCCAGGTTAAGGAGATAAAGCCCCCTGGGGCCCAGACTGGGGCCAAAGGCCCTGCCAAGGTGGCAAGGGCTCTTCTCGGCCTCGTCTTGACCTTTGTGCCCCATCTCCCGGGGCCTTATGGGGTGACCACAGGCGGCCTAGCCGCTGGTTGAGAATCTGGAACTCTTGACTCCCCACCCGATGGCTTCCCAGGTTTCTTACAGCCGCCAACCCTGGGACGCAGAGTTCCAGGGCTGTAAAAGCGGTGGGCACCCCTGGGACCGGCTGGTGTGACATTCACAGTCCGGCTGGTGTGACATTCACAGTCACGTGATGGGCAGGGGCTTGTTTCTGAAGCCACAAGGCATCGGGGTTCCTGGACCCGTCCCAGCATACGTGGAGCACGTGACAGCAGCCCAGAGAGGGCCGAGACCCGCTCGGCCACCCCCGAGGCAGGAGGAAGCCAGCCAGGTCAACATGGACCCAGCGACAGGCTCGGCCAAGCCGAGGGTTTAAATCAAATTCAGTTTAATTTATCTTTAAGGGACCTGAATGTCAACCCGTAATCACATCTGCCACCTGCTGAGCCCTCATTTGCCAATGTTTTCCTCTAGGGTGACGCTGGGTTCCAATCGGGTCTTGTTTTGAGATCACAGACGGCCGAGGGTTCTTGCCCTTGGGAATGGGGGGGGGTGTTGCGGCTTGGTGGCCTTTTGTGGGCCAGGCACCAGGTGGCACGCCTTACACATGAACTGCAGGCAGGAACTGTCACCTCCCGGCTCTGGAGCGGAGAGAAAGGTGCTGGGGAGCTGGCCCCAGAGCCAGGGGGTTCTGATTCTGGGGTCCCATCTCTTCCAGAAATTCTCAGAAAGGACACTACATAGAAGCCACGACCCGAGTGAGGTCTGGATACACTTTACTACTTCAAGATCTGCCTGGGGTTGGTGAAGCCGAATTTAGGGCAGGCCGGGGCAGCCTTCTGGGGGCTCGGCCGACTTCCCACTGATAGGGAACAGAAAGGCACGCGTGGCGGGAACATGAGATTAAGGGAACGATTCCGTAAACTGGGCCCACGAGCTTTTCTTTTTATAAAAAACCAACGTACCTGCCGCCTTGCCTGGCTTACGTGAGCAGGATACCTTACGTTCCTCAGCAAACTACCTGTTCTCTGCAAAGAACTGCAGGCCTGAAGTGCTGCTCAGACCACCACTGACGCCCTGAAGCAGGGCGGAGGGGAATCCTCGTGATTCACGCAGCCCACACAGATCCCACAACTAGGGAAACAAGGACAATTCCCCCTTAAACAGAAAATCTGTAAGGACAGGTTCCAGTCAGAACCACTCAGCACGGGCCAAAGTGACCGAGAGCTCTCATGCGCAGTGGGGACTTGAGAGTCTGAGGTCGTTCTGCTGTCCGTCAAAAGTCAAGGTGGGCCTGGGCAGGACCCCGTTTCCCTTTTCCTACCATTTAGTACTCATGCCTGCCACTCTGAGTGACGCGTCTGAGATCTTTCTGGTGTGATCGAGAAAGGACAGCCACGGCTGGAGCTCTGACACAGCGCCAGCGGGCAGGAGGCAGCCCCCTGGGTGCAGAGATGGCCACGCCCGCGGTCAGCAGGACGCAGAGTTAGAGGAGCCTAGGTTTTGGCCTCATGACCTGCCTCCTCTGCTCAAAGGGCCCACTGTTTACAAACCTGCTGCTCTCCGCCTTGTTTTGCACCAACATGGCCAATGCCATGACCCACTCCCCAGGTAACAGAGGGTCTCTAGGTTCAAGATCTTCCCTAGGGAAGGTGTCAAAAGCCAGGGAGGGACTCAGCATTTCCTGACACCAAATGTGCATATCCCTCCTTTTGAGAAAATTTGCTATAAACAACAGCTGGTTGGGCTTTTGTTAAAGTTTTCCTGTAATTAGTCAATTTAATGTAAATGATAGTGTAGCCAGAGCAACAGAACCTAGGTTAATTAGCAGAATAACCCCAGGGAGTTGTTTAGCCTGCAGCCCAAGCACTTTGACACACAAATGCTCCCAACAGCTCCAGAAAGGATCTACTCAAAGTGACACAGCTGGGGAGGGAGCAGCCAGACCTGTCCCCGTTCTGTTCCCCTCCCCCAAAGGTCCTTTGGTTGCTCAGCAGAGATACAGAACACATCGACCCTCTGAGTGCACTGTAACCTGTGCCAGGCCAACATCAGGGGACGGGCCATACATCCACATTCTGTGATTGTGGGCACAGGGGCGCCTCCTCCTGCCTGTCCTCCACTGGCCCAGGGAAGGGAGCCTCCACCTGCTGCCTCTAAAGCCCAGGCTGACCTGGGAGGCGGCCACCCCAGGCTCCCCCTGGATGGAGCCAGGGCAGGAGGAGGAAGAGGTAAAGGGGGAAGAGGACACACGAGTCACCGAGCCCGGAGCTGGGAGTGGTACCTGGGAGCGATACTTGGGAGCCAAATGAATGAGGAGCTGAGACAAATTACGCACACGGGGTGGACATAAATTGCAGGCTGGAGGCGGACGCTGAAGAGCAACAGATGGGCAAGGACCCGCTGGGTGGAGGGTGGCAGAGATAAAATGCCGCCTGGCGCGCCTCCCCCAGGTGTTCCACCCAAAGTGCAAATGAGGAAGATAATTAAGCCAAGAAGCCTCTGTGACTGGGACGTGGTTAATAAGCTGCTGCCCCTCCTCACAGCCACTGCCATTAGCTCTGGCAGAGAGAGGTGGCACCTGGATTGGCAGGTCCTTGTTGGCAGCAGGAGGGCGTCTCCAGGACCTACTGCCGGTGAGCATGGACGCAGCCCGTCCAGCCCTCTCACAGGGCTTAGGGGGGACACGCCTGCCTCCCGCCGCTGCACACCCCCGCACCTCCAGCTCTCCAGCACCTCCGTTATGGCAAAGAATGATGTCGAGACAGACCCAGGCTCAGATCCTGGTACCCAGGACAACGCTGCGCTTCCAGGGTGTCTGCTGAGTGAGAGGTGCCGGCCATGCCCAAGGCAGAGCTTTTCCCTGCTGGCATCCTGTTGTAGGAGGCGATCCTGGGCGTTGTAGGATGCCGGGCAGCATCCCTGCATTAACTCACTAGGCGCCAATAGCACTCCCTGCTCCGTTTGTGACGATTAAATGTGTCTCTAGAAACTGCCCACTGTCCTCTGGGGGTGGGGAGACCCACAATCACTAAGACTCAGAGCCACTAGCTAGAAACAGGGTTGGCCTTCCACCCACAATAGTTGTTCTCTTTTCCAAAAATTTAAGCAACTCCAGAACACTCTCACAGTTTTAGTAGGTGGTAGGAAAATACAGGTTTGCAAACAAGCATTTTCTCCTTCAGTGGAATGCTAACAAGCTCTTTGGTTAAAGGCATGGGGAGGAGCTGGCAGGTCTTTCTTGCCAGTCTCCGAAACACCAACATCCGTGCCATCTGGGCTTGGATGGATGTCCTAGCTCCTCTGGGCTGCTA